TTTGTGTTTTTGGGAACTAACAATGTGAACCAAGCGGATTATGACTCTATAGCTTCAAACAAAAATATTTACCTGAGGCTCAGCTCCTCCAAACTGGACCAGACTGCCAATCTAAATCACAGCAGCACACAGGATCAGTGAAATTGACATTTTTTTTTCCTTTTGGTTTTCTTTGAAAGTGATAGAATAAACACTCGTCCCTCGTGCTGTGGATCCAAGGATTTACGACAGAGGACAGACACACACATAAGAGTGGTGATAAACCTTGGACAAACATGAGGTGTACATGTGTGTTTGCTGCAAACACACATTCGGACTGCCATGTGGAGTGTGTGTGTGAGTGTGTGTGTGAGAGCGAGAGAGAGGTGGCGTTGCTAGGAGCACCAGGTTGTGTGCAGACAGTGGTAACAAAGTAGAGACAGCAGCAGCAGCCTGGCAGTGGAGAAGAAAGGAGTGGAGCAATGCCAAGAAGATTCCCCCTGAGAGAGCCCAGAAAGAGACAGACAGAGAGGGAGGCAAACGTGGAGAGGCCATGCTGATAAGATCTCATGTTCGCCACTGAAGGATGGAAGACAAATTTACCAAGACAAACATTTATTTTTACTGTGTGCGTCTCAAAGACTTCAAGAGGGTCAATAAAACCCCATGAAAAGGCCCTAATTTAGCTTTGAGGGCGATTATGGCGTGAATGGGAGGAAATGGTAATGGTGGAACAGCAGGAGGGGGGGGGGGGAGATGGTTTACAAGGTTGACTGGAGGGATGAGAAATAGAAAGGGGAAGAATGAGACAATCTGTTGGGGCTCATGTTTGCCATCCCTCGTCATGTCACCCATCCGTCAGATAGTCTGCTAGTCTGTTTCCAACCAGTGCGCATCACTTTCTCAACCCTGCATGTTACCCCACTGAGCCTATCCCTTGTTTTCTATTTGTTGTCTCCCTTTTTTGCAAATCTCTCTCTTCCTCCGTCTTTCCCGTATTTTGTCTTTAAAACGAAGAGCCCGTGTGAACGGACTATGCAAATGAGATGGTTATTACCCCACTGCTCATCAAGCCGCGCAGAGGAGACATTAATAGACTGATGAATATGCATGTGAATTTGTTAATTAAGTTAATTATTCTGCTGAAAATGCATTCGTCTTCCAAGGACATCTTCCCCAGGATTTCAACCTGCTCCACTCATTAGTCATGCGATATTTCATACACGAAGTGGAAGCGAGGGAGAGACGGGAGGCAGACAGTGGGAGGGAGTGTGTGTGTGTGTGTGGGGGGGGGGGGGGGGGGGACAATGTGTTTTTTTTTTTTTCAGTTGTAAAAGTGTGGGGCAAAAATAATGCATTTTAGTGTCATCAGTGTTCACAATGGGATGTGCAATAAATACCCATAATACCAAAATATCACATTGTTTTTCTTGTTTTTAGTTATGGCACATTATCCCCGCTCCAAAAAAAAATCCAAGCAGGAGTTTATACTTTCAGAGTTTTTAACATCTTTTTTTCTAGATGCTTCCACCTCACTGGTTACTTCTCCCTAATTGCTTATTAAAACCCTCTTAAATGAACTTTTTTTGCCAACTTTCCAACACATTAATTAATTGTTGTAGCCAATTAAGTGCCGTTGTGCAAATGAGCCTCATCACAAATGGTCCTATAGGGCTAACCCACCCACCCCCACCCCAACCCCTTCGTGTATCCTGCTCTTCCCTCACTTCCCCACCCTTCCCCTCCTCCTCCTCCCCCCATCTTCCCAGCTGCCCCAGCACTTCGAGGCAATCAGTGCCAAAAAAGCAGAAACTGTGTCCCGGTAATGCCTCACTGTTTTTCTGGACTGCTTCCAGCCTTCACACTCACTGATCTTCAAACTTGTGCAATAGGTAAAAAAGCAAAAAAGGCTCAGTCAATTCCTTTTGTCTGGCAATGTTTCTACAAGAGCATCCCTAATAAGAATGCTTCAAAACCAATCACCAGACCATATAGAAAATCTGTTGATTGCACTCTCTGCCTAATTTGTCTGGTGGCCACAGATTGTCAAGGAGGCTTGTGTTTGCATCAAATGTGGCTTATATTTATTCACAGCAGGTAAGATGTGGGTCCACCAAGAGAGGCTGCGAAAAAAAGAAAGGTAATCGACTTCAAAGGCACTAGGTGAGGTTGCCAAGATGTTCACACATCTTCATCCCCCTGTGCTGAAAGTGAGAACATGCAGGGGAAATCAAACGCAAGTGTTTAAGGGGATGTTAGTCAAATTCTGCAACACAACATCAGAAAATATGTTGGAAAAATGTTCTAGGTAGGTGTGTATTGTGCATATTTAAATATATATATATATATATATATATATATATATATATATATGTGTGTACAGTGGTACATTTTCATCTTTAAATCACTTCTTGGTCTGCTGCCTTCATACACCTCCTCCTACATGTCACTGCGTGAGTGCAGCTATTGCGTGAGTGCAGCTACAGCGTGCGCTCTCAGGACATTATTACCTGCAGTGTCCCCTCAGTGAGACCTGAACTTGGCAAAAGGACCTTCTCCTACTCTGCTCCTGTTTCCTGGAATATCTTGCAAAAAGATCTGAAGTTCTTGACCTTGACCTCTTTAAGTGTCTTTAAACATCTGTTAAGTTCCTGGGAAAAACCAATGCAGACATGTTCCTGTTTTTAGATTTTTACACCACCAGTGTAAGTAGCAGTTTTTTTTTTTTTTTTTGTTCGCTACTTTTTTCCTTTTGACTGTCCTTTTGGTTGCCATTTTATTTAAATTATTTAAAAAAAAAATCTGTATGCCTCTTTTATGACTGTCTATTGTTGTTGTTGTTATCCACTGCTGTCATCACTCTGTTAAAATCAGGTCTCTCTTGTAAATGAGTCCCCGAGGCTCAATGGGATTAACCTGTATAAATAAAGGTTGAATGAAAAAATATACATTCTGCACATGCATGAACAATTTATGTATGCAATATGAAAGAGTATGCAGTAAAAAAATCTAAAGGTGATGAGAAATGCTTGTAAAATAATGCACAACATATCAACATATATTTGACCACTGTTTTATATTTAAAATATACTTCCTTTTAGTATAGGCACATTTTTGCAAAGATTTTAAAGAAGACTGGATTCAATTTGCCTCTGTCTCTTCATTTGATGTCACACTGACACAATGATGTTGAGATCCAGGCTACATGGGGGTTGAACCATCTGTTAGTAGAATCCATTTTTTATTTATTTATTTATTTAGTCACAGAAATTTGTTCTTTCTGACTTTGAGTGAGTGTTTTGGTTAGTTGTTATGGATCAAAATGATATGGGGACTATTCAAAACCTCAGAGATAGAAAAAAAATATATATAAACAAGATTTGCCATCATCTTACGCTGTGGATTACAACGATGCATGGCAGGATGGATGGATGGCAGGATGGATGGATGGATGGCAGGATAGATAGATAGATAGATAGATAGATAGATAGATAGATAGATAGATAGATAGATAGATAGATAGATAGATAGATAGATAGATAGATAGATAGATAGATAGATAGATAGATAGATAGATAGATAGATAGATAGATAGATAGATAGATAGATAGATAGATAGATAGATAGATAGATAGATAGAAAGAAAGAAACATGATTTATTCCTGTTAACAACAATGTGTCAAACAGTTCTTAGTACAGGGGCTGAACTTTCTCTTTTCTGTCTTGAGTCAAGCTCAGCCCACTCAGCTGCCATCCAGACATGGCACTGATACACCCACCATGAAGATTAGGGAAGATTTAGCTCTCGTGCCAACTTCACTCCCAGTGCAGTGCCATCCCTCGGCACAGAGGGGGGTCCCACTTGGCATGGCAAGGTGAACTAGCCTCTGATTGATGGGCACGGTTTCAGCCCGCTCCTGAGCTCCCTAAAGCTCGTGCCTCCTTTTCCTTTCTCCCACTGCTGTCTTGGCAGCAGTGCCCAAATCCTCCTTCATGCCAGGCCGCCAGCTAAAGCTCCTGGTGGGCACATCAATTACACAGCGGCACCTCCCCTCTTTTCTTCATGTCTTATCTGTTGGTCTGTCTACTGTCTCACATGATGCCAATCTGGGCCGTCTCCATCTCAACTGCTGTCTAACGTTATCTCTTGTGTATGTTGTTGCTGTTTCATACTCATGTTCATAAATGCAGCATTGCATGTGCACAAATGCTCACATATTCAAGCACACACTCTCTCCTTGCCCCGATTCATCGGCAGGTCATAATGGTTGGTGGGAAAATCCTCCCTGGAGAGCACTCATTGCCACAGGCTCAGCTGTACAAAAGGCTCAGGTGTGTGTATGCCATATGTGCTTGTGTGTGTAAGGCATGGCTGATTTTGCAGTTCACGTTTTGAACAGACATTGTAACTTGTGAGGCAACTCATAAATAGGAGATACAAAATATGAATAAAGGCAAATATAATCAAATTGTGTAATTTCTTAAATAAATAAACAGGTTCATTTTAACCTTTCTTTGGTGGCTGTGCTGATTGCTCTTGGCAAAACATTAATCATTTACTTACAGAAGTACGCCATCTGGAGTATTCATTAAGCTATTATCTTTATCATTAAGTAATGGAGCTTTATTAAAGTAATACAATATTTACTTTGTATTGCATCAGTAAGAATGAACTACCTCTAATAACATATAGTCAAATCAGTTTTTATAAACATGTTCTGTGTATGCATGATATAAAGCACTTTAAAGCGGAAATATACAGTACTGTCTATTACTGTGCAAAAGTCTTCAGTTGTCCCTTATTTCTTTATATTTTGCATTCAGTGAGCCAGACTTCTCAGTAATTATTCAAAAGAGGTATTTATTTATTTATTAAATTATTTATTTGCTGTCTGAAAACGTAGTTAAGGTAAAGTCTGGCTCCTTGGAAGAAAAACATAGGAGTGGTCTAAAACTTTCGCACAGTCGTAGTACGGAAGCCGAGTTGGGGGAGCGCGGAACTCGAACCAGGGAGCGAAAAAATGGCGACGGGGCCTGGTGTTTCTCTGCAAACTGGCAGTCCTGCCAGGGAACTTTCTATTTCGGTTCAGCAAGGAGGAAACCTGAATCTCGGAGATCGGGTAAAATCTGAAGATGTAACTGGTAAGATCCACCTTTTCAGTTTGTTCGTTTTTATCATCCTGAAGAGAGATGAAATGCTGGAAAGTGACCGAGGCTAACGAAGGCTAACATTAACAATAGCTCGTCTAGCTATCTCTTTAACATTATTGGCTACTTTCTCAATATGTTTTCAACGTTTCAGAGCAGTTGTATTTTTTAGAGCAAAGTAAACACACAGTAATTCACGAAACGTAAGAATAGTTCATTTGAGGTAGTGATTTATAATGTTACAGCCGTAAGCTAACGCTAACAATAGCACCGGGCTAACAACAACTGATTAACGTTTAACACCACAATATTGACTTTGGCCAAAAAAAAAAAAAACAACAACAAAAAAAGTATTTTTGTGGTAAACGATGAAAGCTAATTTTGCTCGTTAACAAGGTAAACAAGTGGAGTCAATGTCGGCAAGTCGACAAGTCGTGCTTGTTATTAATAGTTTTGTTTTTCTTTACGTCTGTGTTTTAAAATGGTCTAATTCTATAATCAGAATATTCTAGAAAGCCCTCAGATGCAGCCACTTAATGTAGGAAAGTTTGTGTGATTTTCATTGTTTTACTGAACTGTTTAATTTTCATGAAGGTGTTTGTTGTTAAATTTATTGTTACAGGTTTTTAAAGGTGTTGATTAGAATATTTAAGCTTTTCTTTCTATTTTTTGTTTTTAGAACATGATGAATTTTCTAAAGGACTGTAAATAAATGTGTTTGTTCACATCTTACATTCAGTTGTGCATGTTTAACAAATTAACCTGTGATTATCAACTAGTGGCCCATGGCCCACTTCAAGCTTGTTGGAGGGGGTGTTTCTGGCCAATAGTTGTGATCTTATTAAACTAAAATATCAAACTATTATTAATATTTATTGATTTTTTTTTTTTTTGTATTTTAGGGCAAAATAAATGTCTGCATTTATGTAAAGAAGAAAACTATATATATTTACCAATTTTATAAAAATTCAAACACAAGTATGCAGTCTATGTGAGTTTTCCTTTTAATTGTGGAAACAATTCGTAAAGTATCCTATTATGAAGTAATAAAGCATAAAGTTAAAAATTAGTCCAGTTTGTTCGATACAAAATTGAATTTTAAAATGAAAATCTATACTTCCATTTACTTTGACTTAGTTTTTTCTTTAATTTTCATTGTTATCAAGTTGATTCACCATATTTGTTCTCAGCAACTTGCCTTAAAGTCATTCCCCCCAAAATTTGGTGGATTTGAGTAAAAAATCACACCCTAAGACTGGAAGTGAACAAAAAGAAGTGGCTAACAAAATACTAGCACAATGTAGCCAACATGTTTTACTCGTGTTAGTACTATTCATCCATTCTCTTCCACTTATCCGGGGTCGGGTCGCGGGGGTAGCAGGCTAAGTAGGGAGGCCCAGACTTCCCTTTCCCCAGCTCCTCCAGGGGAATCCCAAGGCGTTCCCGGGCCAGTCGAGAAACATAGTCCCTCCAACGTGTCCTGGGTCTTCACGTATTGGCAAAATAAATGACCAGAAAACTGCTAAAACTAGCCATTTCTTGTTGTTGGTACAACAACCAATAAACTACAGTTTGATGTTAGTTTTGTTAGAGCTACTACAGAGAGACCAAAGAACCACATGTGGCTCCAGAGCCACAGGTTGCAGACCTCATGTTTGGACTGTAGTCTGTAAAATAAGTTGACTCAAAAAAACTTAGATTTATTTTCAACTTCACAAATTAAAGCCAGTATGTGTTTGTTCTACATATATACATACATATATATATATATATATATATATATATATATATATATATATATATATATATATATATGTGTCAATTTCAGTGTGTTATATATAACTTATTTGAAGTAACTTGTTTATTTTAAAAACCATTTAGAAGCAGAGAAGCAGAGTCGCATGGCTGCTCTTTTGGAGAGGCTTCATGCTAAACACAACGCTTCACGGCCATGGCAGGAGACCTGCAAGGTTGTCCGTCAAGCTATGGTAAGACAAATAATATTTTTCTGTAAATAATCTGTAAATTTACAAAGCATTAATTAAAATATGGAGTAACTGGAAAATTTGAATGCAGTTGAGGTTGGCCTGGTGACTTGCTGTTGTAGTGAACTAGGCCTGAGGTCAAATCCTGACCTTAAGGACCATATGGGACAGAAACTGTAATTTCATTGATTTGAATCCAGAAATACAGGTTGACCCATCCTAAGACTTTGTTTCTTGAATTAATCAAGTGAAAGAAGACTACTTTCGATTATCATTACTATTTTACAAATGTTTGATAATCATATTGTGTTAGTTCAAACAATGTTTAAATGTTGAAGTGAACTACTCATTTTTAAATCAACTGTGAAACAGTAATAACGATTTTTAATCCTCATTCAAAGTGAAATCAAGTTGGAATATGTTACAGAGTAATGATTCAATTTCTTGATCGTCTGTTTGAAATGAGCAAGTGGTGTAAGTTGGTCAAAGTTCAAGTTTCGGTCAACTGCAAGTTTACTGAAAAAGAAATGTCATGTTTAACTTTTACAGCAAGATACTAGAGAAGTGACTCCACGAAGTCTGAGTTCTTCATAACAATCTTCTGTCTGTTCTTAAACAATCTTAATCTTTTTCCTTGACTTTTCATAACACCTTACATCACAAAACACACCTCTGTTTTGGTCCAACGACCAATCAGGAAACTCCCAAGTGAACCGGAAATAGAGCTCTTTAAATGTTGGTACTTCCTAGTTCAAACCAGTCGCTTCGGGTGGAGAGTTTGCAGCTCCAGTCGTTTGGGAGAACAGAAGTCCAGCCATGATTCAAAGCTCTTCCGAGTATTGGGGATTATGACATCTTCCACCTCTGAGTGGAACTCTGACGGACTCCACTCATGTGAAGCCCACTCGTGAGGTGAACTGTTGTTGACGAAGTCCCGCCACCACTCCGGACGGTTCTCTGCCATCCTACGGAGACGCTGGACCGGTAGCGTAACTGGAGCTCCGCTTCCACTGATTCATCGTCAGAGAGGTAATGAGTCGAGTTCACTACCGAGCGTACCGAGGAAAGCTGGGTCGAATGGAGGGTGCCGTTCTGTCCAACACTTTTCACTTCACCACCCACAATCTCCCTCCCTCTAAACTTCAATCTTTAAACTCTTCTATCTGCTAAGAAATTAATCCAGATATTTTTAGAAATGTCTGAAGCAAAGTTTTTCAACCACCGCCGTGTGGTTAATGTCTGTGTGAAGCTGGAAGCAAGGTTTTCAACCATCGCCGTATGGTCTTCCTTGTAAAACTTGCTAAATAAGCTGCCGTTATTTTCAATTTTTGCCAATTAATGTAAATGTGTGATGTGTTAAACTTGATTCTGTTAATAAATGACCCACTGTCGTTGGTGAGTCAAAGATAATTAACGTTTCGTCCACATTTTATCAAATTCAGATGCACGTCATTATACAGTCCAGAAAAATGAAAGAATCCGTTTAATTTATGAATATATATCAGCATATGTTCATTCTACACTGTTCTTTTTTTTTTTTGTATTCACTCTAATGTAAATTACATGTTTTGTCCGTTTGTTAAAGCTACCTTTTGCTAATATTTTCTCTACACTTTTTTTTTTGTACATTTAACAACAAAAGGAATAAAGACTGAACTACCTAAACCTGTACTTGATTTGACTTTTAACCACACATTTTTCTTTAGCACCAAGTATTTTATTAATCATACATACACACGCACACTTTTGAAAACTACTAAAACTGATTTTAATCAAGAGCCTAAATATAAAGTCTCATATCCAACATTTTTCAGTCAGGTCATCTGGACAGTTTTTTTCTTTGTGCTGAAACGTTTCGCCTTCGATCCGGAAGGCTTCATCAGTCAAGGAAACACACAACAAAACTGATTCTTCCTCCAAAAG